TCCGAAGTCGTCTGCCATAGTAGTTGTCATGATTCCCTGCATCTGACAGTGGACTTGATACATTCTCAAAAGTTTCGCCGGCATCGTAGTCGGCATTATCAGTGAGCTTTGCCATTTTCCGCACCAAAATACGAACTCGTCAAAGAGCCAAGTCTCTGACGAGTTCGTATCTTGGTGCGGAGAATGGCAAAGCTCACTGATAATGCCGACTACGATACCGACGAAACGTTTGAGAATGTAGCAAGTCCACTGTCTTATGTTGGGAATCATGACAACTACTAGGGCAGACGACTTCGGACTAGGTGTGTTCTACATAGTCTCCATGAGAACAAGACCAAGTTGCGACAACGAAGTCAAACCACTTCTATAAATGGAAAGGAGACTGCGACCATACCAGAGACCACAACATCTTGGTCTTCATATCTTCATTCAAGAAGTGTTTGCTCCCCTAACTTAGCAGGTTAACACCTCCTCGGTAGTCTGGCAAAAATGGCCAATCGCTCTCGTTCCTACACCCTGTCTCCCACTTTGGTCTATCATTTACACAACGTTAGAAATACGCGAGAATCGAGTATGTAAAGGAAAAGCCAGACCAGATCAAGGAAGTTAAGCTTTGTCTTGTTCGTCTTTTTGATGTGAAAGTTATTGCATGTTAAGTGAATGCGTTAACAAATCTCAATTTCAACAGCTTGTTCATTATTTTCACCCCTAGCCTTCCATCCATTCCCATTTGTTATGACCAGACAGCCTCATTAGACTTATCCACTTGTCGTAGGACAGCATAAACCAGCCTCTGTCGAATCTACTCTCTCATGTTGCCCCTCAAAAAGCTATTCTATTCACTTCTTCGGTGATGGGGGCTTGCGGTTGCCATTGTAGGGTTACAGTCGATTAGGGTCGAAGAATAAATGACTCGATCAGATGAGCTTACTTCCATTTTGAGTGGAAGTGTTGGGTGAAGAGATTCGAAGGTCGGTTCCACCAGAAGACGACGGCGGATTGCTCTTGACCAGCTGTTGATTGGCTTTACTGGAACATTCATGCTGACGCTGTTTCAGAGGCACTCTCCTTCGATTCCGGTGAAAAGGTGCTAAGCTTTCGTCCGTCATATGAAGGACATCATCAGAGCGAGATAACATCGTCACAACCAAATTCAAGCTAACGAATCAATAAACCTCACCGGCAAATCCCTAAAAAGTGGTATATATACTCCACATCTGGCCTCTTTGATCAAGTATAAAATGATTTGGTTAGTTAAGGTCATATGTCAAATAACCAAATCACTTTATACTTGATCAAAGAGGCCAGATGTAGATTATATATACCACTTTTTAGGGATTTGTCGGTGAGGTTTCTTGACTCGTTTGGTTGTGACGATGTTACCTCGCTCTGATGATGTCCGTCATATGACGGACGAAAGCTTAGCACCTTTTTAACAGGAATCGAAGGAGATTGCCTCGGAAACAGTGTCAGCATGAAC